AGTTTATTTTAATTTAGTAATGCTTACTTTTGGTCGATCAATAATAAACCAAACGATTTTAAAATTCGTAAATAATTCATTAGTTAATTAAATTAATTAACGATTCATTATAAGTTGAAAAAGGCCTTAAAAACGAAGGTTAATATATGTTTAAAAAAGGTGGTGTCATGACTTATTGTTAAACTTAATGTTTTATATCTTTTAACTAATAGTAACTAAATAATACATTATACATCTAGTCAAGAGTCACCAATGGGTAGCTGCTTAAGTCACAACTTTCATTTATATACTTTTTCTTTTATCGAATAAACTTATTGTGCAAATTGTATGGATTGATTATATCGAATAAAAAATTTTAAAAAAGAATTATATAATATATACAAACATCTTATATGAATTGTAATTATACAATATGTCAATACACAATAATATAATAATTAAATTATTTAGCGGAGTGTGCACGAATTCCGATCCACCGACGAATGTTGTACGACWGGCTATTTAGAAATACCGATAACATTATAATATACATACTGTGTGTAATGTCATTTCGTTGAATGAGAAATAGAAATAGGTTACATGCTTTAAATTTTGTAGGTAGTAAAAAGTTTTCAAAAACATAAATACTTTTTGATTTAATATYGTGTACCTATTAACTGTTAAAATAATGACCCGTATACCATGTCCGTATAATATGTTAGTTGGCATTTACAGAATTTTCGTAACATATTATTTGTAGAAATTTTCGTTCTGTGGACCCCATGTGCTAGTTAATAAGAAACTACATACGTAAAATAATGAAAAATTAGGAAATATATTTTGTTGGTAATCTACAATTTTACAAATTACTTAATTATTTTTCTTCGTTTTTTAAGGCTCTAAATATAATTAAATAGCATATTTTTAGAATGAAACCACATTTAAAATGTTTAAACACATTTTTTTACGAAAAAATTGACGCAAAAAGTTGATTATTTTCACAAATCATATTTAATTTTTAAACACTACCATGTCACTATAACTCTGTTAGTCTTATTAATGTATAWTAAACAAAGTTGTACGTAGTCCAATCTATGGTATTTACGTCAGCATTTGCGATTCATTAGGTTGAAAACTTGAAACGAGTAATAATATATTTTTAGAGCTTATTTATAAGAAACTTATCGTAACTATAAGACCAAAACTTTTCCAGGGACTCTTGCAACAGAACCAGAATAGTTAAAAACATTTCTAATGCGTATAGTTTGATAAAAATAAACTTTTAAATTGAGTTGATGAAAAACTTTGATAGAGAAATAATAATATTTAAATATAAATATTCAAATATAAAGTATATCGAATTTGTGAATAAATTATTACACATTGACTTAAGTTCGGACATTATTTTTCAATAGATACGCTGCGTCTAATTATATAAACGATAATAATAATATAACGAATAAAGGGATTTTCACTATCAAAAATAACATTAAAAACCATCATCAATACCTTAAACAGATAACGTACTTAACGACCACTATACATTAATATTACACATTTGTATAGTTATATTTCATACTATACAATCCAAAACAATAAGCAATCATAAAATACAATTAATAGTCGTTAMATCTACGTATAATAGGCGTATTGTGTTCTGTTTCTAAATTGTAAAGATAAACAGTTGATTAATACGGCAACAGATGTTTGTTTACAGATTTCCATGATTAAGTTAGGAAATATTTATGTATTCTGTTATTAGAATAATATATTGCATACTAATTAAAAATATTACATAATATTTTAATTAAAACATTTCATATTTAATTTATAGATTTCATTATATATTTCTGTTATAAGCCAATTATCTACACAAATAAAAGTTGTGGAATAGAAAATAAATTCCAAGTCACTGTCTCAAATTCGTAGACAGTGACTGGTGCAACACTTTGAGAACCCTTGATATTAAGGTCGATTCACTATATACTTGAAGTTTCAATTGACAGTAGTACTCCATGTACATAGTCTATTTATACGTCTGACACTTCTAACTTAATGACTTATCAAATACAAATATCGGTCACATAATGACTTTTCGAATGCTTTAAAATAAAGGGCTTTAATCGAAAATAATATCAATATTGGGTTGAAWAAAATYGAAAACATTTTCAATTAAATTTTCAAATRTTTTAAATTTAATATGCGTAAAAATATTGTTAGTTCCTTATTATATTTTGAAATTTACATTTATAATTTTGTTTACTCCTTACCGATAGAACAACGGTTGACGAGTATGATGGATTTGAAAATAATTCTAATAAAATATCGTGAATGGTGTAATATCAGCTGCCTTGAGCAAACTCGATAATAATTAATCATTTTTGGGCAGAACTCGCGTGTCGTGGTAAATAAATATTGTAAGACGTTATAATTTATAACACACGTCAGTGGTAAAAAATAATTAATTAAATATAGTTTACCAGCTAACTCAAAATACTCGCATAACAAAATTAATAGATTAAAAACATTAACGTCGYCATCGGCACATTTTTAAAATGTACCTATACAAAATTTAGATCATTTTGTTTGCAACAAAATAAATCGATAATGCTTTGACAGACATGCAAAAATGCATTAATGTCGAATGAAGAGGAAGTACGTTCACAATAAAATAATATTTAATTATAGGAAGTATAGAAACAATTATTTATTCATTTTTTTCGATTATTCATTAATTTTTTCTAACCATATACACCTCATACCTAATACCTTAWAMACATATTTGTGTAAAATAAATCATTAAGTTTTTTGAGCATTATAATATAAGTGCATATTTATAATTGAGCGTAAAGTAAAAATTAAAAATGTACCTATGCAATGATTAGACGTGGTATTCACATTAAATGATTCTGAGTTCTGACTAGGTCTTTGTCCTTCCGGACTGGAACTCTCCATTTCCCCTTCTAGAAAAAAAAACCTAGAAAATATAAAATATAATATTAATTATAAAATATAAGTTAATTGAGTTATGAGATAATGGCTAAGGCATTTATAACAATGAAAATTTAAAAAAAAAACAAATTAGCCATATGAGGTAAATAGTCCCCTATAGCTTAAATCTAAATAAAACTCTGTAAATATATATATATATATATATATATTATATTATTACGATAGTACCTATTCAAAAATTTTATGTTGTTCATAAAAACTGCCGTTAAGAAAATTGCGCTGTTCAAATGGTTTTTTTCCTCGACCGTTAAGTAATCACTCTATTTTATCTTMCACCACGAATGAAAATATAGGTAACTTTACCTAACGGTTTAATGTATTCAAGTTCCCACGATTTGCGTWTTATAACTTCGTCGGTTGTGCAGGTACTTTGTTTTATTTTCTATTTGTTTTGCTCACCTATWTGCAGATTAATTTAGCACAAGTTACACCGCGAGTATACAGGATGATTATTTTATTAGTGAACACTTTATTATCACAAACATTTTAAACAGTTTTAGAAATATTTTTTCTAGATGAATTGAAATCATTATAAAACGTTTGGTAATAATTAATAAAAAAATTWAAATATTTTTACTATTTTTTCGTTATTGTTTAAAGTTGTTTGTATATTGATCCAACTATTATGGAGTATTTTTAATATTATAATAATCTGAAGTAGAATATTTTCTAGAG